AATCAAGGAAAGATAATCAATCTAAATAAATAAATGAAGTAATAAACAAATTAAAAATAATAGTTAGAATAAACTACATCAATCAACCTCAAAATTGAATAAATAGCTTTAATTATTTTCCAAGACCAAAACAAAACCATTAAATGAGCAATATAAACAAATTATTACTACGCTAATAAAACACCGATTAAAATAAGTAACTAAATATATAAGATAAGAAATAAAAAAATAAAAATAAAAAACAAAAATAAATAAAAACAAGCAAAATAAATTAACCCAAATAAATAAATAAACAAATAAACAACTTCCGGCAATATAACCGCCACAAATAGTCTACCCACAATGCACCACTGACCCGTATATATAAATAGCCGAGAAAAAAACAACACTCGTGGCCTGACGATTGCGTCTAGCATGAAAGAGCCTGTCGCCTCTAAGTGTTGACTTCAGTGTTGACTTTTATATTTACACACGCTCTATCTCTGATATTGAGCACTTTATCCCATAAATATAGAACATTTTAAGACTATATTTCTTCATATATATATATATATATATATATATATATATATATATATATATATTGTCATATATATATATATATATATATATATATATATATATATGTTTGTCATACACAGACAGACTGTTTCTCTGTTTCACAGATAGACATCCAATTGCCTTAAGCCGGGATCGAAACCCGACGCCAGTGACTGAAGAACGCGATTCGTCTTAACGAAGAGTCTTGCATCAGCAGCAGTAATAGTCACTGTTTACAAATTCACTTTTCTCTCCAAGAGCTCAACCGAAATAATTTTGGGGGGGAGAGCATGTATATATTGTCATCCACAGCAGGGATGAAGGGGAATTTAGATTTATTTATTTTTAGATAAACACGCCATGTCTTATCGAATAATTTAAACAAGTTTTCTCTACTTATTTTCAATAGGATCCTCTCATATTCACGGACAACCTTCTTAGTATCCTTATTACTGAAAGAGAGAAGATTACCATGTTGATACATATTCATTTACCCAAGTACGTTCGACAAAAATTATTGTGTTCATAATTTTTTTAAGACAAAATTGTGTTCATCGGAAAGTTAAATATTTTACCTGTGAAGAGAAAAGAGCTAAGGTTATGTACTGCACGATTTCAATTTCACGGTGTAATCGTCAGGGGAGAGAACTCAGTTATGGATTGACCAAATGTCTTCGTTTTTTTTGTGTTTTTTAATGAGACATCACATAATGAAAACATGCTGCCAAAATATACGCAATCGAGGTCGCCTGGTTATTGACGTCTTTCGAATAGAAAAAATGTTAAAATTTCCTTTTCATTCTGCCGTGCGACGATAGCGGGAGTGTAGAATCTCTGACAAATCGCATCAAGTTTCGACCTCGGCTTGAAGCAGTTGGATATCTAGCCACGCTAATCAGACTTGATATAACGAAACAGTCTGTCTGTGGATGGCTATATATATATATATAAATGTCTAAGGTAATGGGTACTTTTATCGATCCGTCAGTTTTTTTAAATGTCCCAAACTTAATAAAAACAAGGTTTTATCACTAAAATCTTTATTATCAAGAAAAGACCAAAGGATTTATTTATTATTAAATTATTTTTTTTTCATTCTTTTTACAATGTCTGAAATTTTGATTAAAAATGTTTTGTTTTGTTTTTTTTTGTTTTTTTTTTCCGTCAGTTCGGTGGTCGAAGATTATTATAGGAAACTCTAGCGTCTTTTTTGCGGTGAAAAACACATTGATTTGGAATCAAATAATTGTCGGATTTTAATGAAACTTTCAGGACATTCACAAATTAATTAAATTATTTTAGAAATCAAATTATTTTAGAAATTAAATTATTTTAGAAATTGTGGGCAAAAATATTTTTTCCTTTTTACATTTTTTTGGTGGGATATCGATAAATTAAATTTTGAATGGCGAAATGTTTATATTATTTTCAAGCAGAACTTCTTGGAGAATTGAAAATATTATTATTATTTTATTTTATTTATTTTTGTTAAACACAAACACCATTTATCGAAAATCTGCTCTGTATCGTAAAATAAAAAAGTGCAATAAAACGATGACATTATTTAATCAATTGCATTTAAGAATAAGATGGAGACTATTATCTTAAGAATTTTTTTTCGATAAATAATAACTTTTACATGAATTGTTTTCATTTATTTAAATTTTAACTAGAATAATTTATTAGATTTTAAATCTGTCTTAATTTTTCTCCCTTTTATTGTCCCCACACTAAAGTTTTCTAATTCTCTTTCACTCTTCTTATTTTCCAGCCAACTTTGATCTTCAAGAATTTCAATGCAGTGTCAATCGTTATCTTCTGTCTTCTTAATTGCTCTTCTTTTATTGTCCTTTCCCCTCACTAAAGTCTTCTAATTCTCTTTCACTCTTCTTACTTTCAGTCAACTTTGATCTTCAAAAATTTCAATGCAATGTCAATCGTTATCTTCTGTCTTCTTAATTCCTCTTCTTTTATTGTCCTTTCCCCTCACTAAAGTCTTCTAATTCTCTTTCACTCTTCTTACTTTCCAGTCAACTTTGATCTTCAAAAATTTCAATGCAATGTCAATCGTTATCTTCTGTCTTCTTAATTCCTCTTCTTTTATTGTCCTTTCCCCTCACTAAAGTCTTCTAATTCTCTTTCACTCTTCTTACTTTCCAGTCAACTTTGATCTTGTAAAATTCAAATGCAGTGTCAATCGTTATCTACTGTCTTCCTGATGACTCTTCTATTGTTCTCTCTCCTTTTT